TGTAATTAATGTTGAAGGGGTACACTGAGTACCTGGGAAAACTAACCCAGAATAACTAAATCCATATAAATTATAGTAAGTCTACCTAACTTTAAAGGAAAACAAACACAAAAACACCTTTGGTTTTCTGGGAATTAAAAAAAAAAAACAACAGAATTACCTGAGTCACTAAAAAGAGTAAGAAAACCAGATTATCACTAAACTCGTGAATAAAAATGCTTAATCACAGAAGCCAGTAGAGCGAGGCAATGAATGCTTACTAAAGCATGAATTCAGGGTTTTATACCCAGTCACACTGACCTCCAAGTATAGGGAAGCCAACACAAAGAACTAGAGAAATGCCATTCACAGATCTTCCTATGGAATCTAAATGAATATAAGCTACACTCAGATAATTAGACAGGTGTTATAAAAGGGCTTATAGCTGCTGATGGCTGCTAGCAGGGCAAAAATAAAGACAATAGACATTACAGGCTTTCTGATGACAATGCATGCCAGCACCTATGATAAAGGAAATTCGCAGCTTTTAACACCTGTGGGCCCTGCTCCCGGCTCCCAGGGAAGCCATAGTTTAACATTTACCAAGGTCAAAAAGACTTGGCAAAACCTGAAAGCTCTGTTTCTGCCCTCAGCATACGCTGTACATCTGCTTCATTAGAAAAATAACTAAAAAGGAGTATTCCAAACACAAAGATAAGAAAAACAAAAAAACCTTTCCTGGTTCCTGTAAGATTCGAGTCCCACGGCCTTGCACATAATAAAGACACAAGATAAGGTCAATAATTTTCTGGTATGTCCTTTGTAATGATAATTTGTAACTCTTTATATATATATATATAATATATTATATATATATATATATTATATATTATATATATATATATTAAAAAAACAAAAAAACAAAAGAATCATAGGTAGCCATGCAGCAAATGTTCCTTCCCTGGAGCACTTTCTTCTTCGTGAAGATTGTACATTCCAGGCAGCTGTTCTCACTTGGGTTTCAATAAAATTCCTTAACTGTCTCTTTAAAATTTTTAAAAATGATTGTTCATTTTGTGTCAACTCCCACAAATGTCTTCATGCCAAACAAAGCAAAAGGAAGCAAAACACGGCCTTATTTTAATCAAATCTCTATATCCAGCTACCTATTATAGGAAATTCAGAGGACAGGAGAACATATCAAATGATATCACAGTTTTATGCAATCAGCAAAATCCAGAATGTGGACAACTCTATAGGAAGAACGAGAGAGAGAGAGAGAGAGAACACAATAAAGATTCTGTATTTTAAAGAGACTTAGAAGACATAGCAACTAATCGTGTGTTAAAGATTTTATTTATTTATTTGACAGACAGACAGAGAGCACAAGTAGGCAGGGCGGCAGGCAGAGGGAGAGGGAGAAGCAGGCTTCCTGCTGAGCAGAGAGCCTGACATGGGTCTGGATCCTAAGATCCTGAGATCATGACCTAAGCCAAAGGCAGATGCTTAACTGACCTAGCCACCCAGGCACCTCCTAACTTACATGTTGATCTTATTTCATTACATTTATTTACATTACAATTACATTCTAATCTTATTTCAATCTAATCAAACAAATGAGCTGACATGTTTTTGTATGTACATGTGTATGTACATGTCTCTGTATACACACAAACACATCCATATACTTATATAAACATATTCATACATAAGTGTCTCTACATTTATACATGCATTCACATACATTTCTATATTAGACATTGGTGAAATGAGAACACAGGCTAGCTAGTTGATGACACTTAAGTGTTCTTGTAATTTTTTTTTTAGGCATTGTTGATTTTTGAAGGTATATGATGAGGACTACAAAAGAGCTACCTAAAAAAGGAAGAACTTCCTACTTTTAGAGATTCATACTGAAATATTCACAGATTTAATAAATGATGTGATGTCTGGGATTTGTTTGAAAACCATCTGTTTTAGGAGGAGGAGTGGGTAGCATACAGAGAAAACAAAATTGGCCACAGGCTGATCATCAGTGAAGTTGGTTGATGGGTACATGGGCTCCATCCATTGTCCACTTCTTTCTACTTTCATGTGGGTTTGAAACTTTCCATATTAAAGAGTTTTTAAAATATCAGGTGATGATGTATAAGACAGATGCTATAGGCAGAGGGAAGAACATGAGACCAGGCAAAGGGGCAGGGATGCATGCAGGTAGTGTTGGGACAACTGTGGCAGAGGGGAGCTAGCAGAGAAGTTGAAGGTGGAGGGGAGAGGGGAGAGGCTTCATTAGGAGGATCTTGGATGTCAATGCATAGATAAACTCTACTTTGGCAATGGGCGCTGGGGAAGAAAGGTCCTCAAGTGGAATATGAGGAATATGGAGGCAGTTGGGTCTGTGGACAGCATGGGAAATGGGTACCTGAGAAAGCACCACCAGCACTGGGGGTCTGGCTCTGATGCAGAGAGATCTCTGTACTTATTCAGTTGGCCTCAGCGCAATGGGAAGGGATCAATGCCCTGCAGGAGACTTTAGGGTGCCACGAGTCAAGAGAGCACTGATTAGGATTCCTGGGGTTTGTGTATTTCATCCTTTTGACAAACTGATCATAAAGAGGTAGTGTGAGTAGTGACATCAGTGTTCAGAAGAGGCCCGGCTACCAAATCCTGGTCTGCTGCTATCACAGCAGATGACGAGACCTCCATGAGGGTCCCAAAGGCCCTGCCGGAAAGCAGGTACTTCTCTTTGTGAGTCCTTCTGATTTTTTTTTTTTTAAGATTGTATTTATTTATTTGAGAGAGAGAGAGAGCACAGAGGGAGAGAGAGAAACAGACTCTCCCCTGAGCAGAGAGACCAAAGCAGGGCTCTATCCTATCCCAGGACTTCGGGATCATGACCTGAGCTGAAGGCAGATGTCTAACCAACTGAGCCACCTGGGTGCCTCATGAGTCCTTCCTCTTTAACTGAGGGGTTTCTGTGTGAGGGTATCTGCCGACCACAGGTGTGCTCTTACTCATCAATCATAGGTACAAGTACGACTGTTCTCCCAGCTACGGGTGGTTTTCCACTTTTCAGAAGATGGAGTTCAGCTAGGTTTACAAATACAGGGTTTCAAACACTGAGATGGCTGTGTCCTAGGGCCATCTCCCAGAAGCCCTGTGAGAGCTCTGGAGGGGCACAGCACTGACCTGGTTCCCTGAGCTGTCCCTCCCTCCCCCGAGACACAAAGCAGCAGGCAGCCTCACTTTCTCAGGGGTGTCTCTGAGGATCACAAGGTAAGTACTAACTGTAGCTCATTCACTGGTTTGGAGGCAGAGTGGGGCTCGCCCAGGAGGAGGTGAAGGCAACAAAGCTGGCCCCAACTCCTATTGCTCACTACTCTGGTCAGAGGCAGGGTTTCTGTGGAATAATCTATGGGAAAATATTTGTGAACAGCCTGTCAGACAGAGGACCCACCCAGGAAGAGAAAACAGCCAAAATCGACGATCATGAGGAAGGGGAGGTGGGGCACAAAAATTGGGAGCACAGCTAAGCGTAGAGCTCTTGGTCCCCCCACCCATTTTGTTATTGTTTTCATTTGTTTGTTTGCTTGTTTACTTGAGTGTTTGATTCTTGGTGCTTCTTTTGCCAATAAACCAAGTTTCAAAGTCACTCTCCACATGGCTCATCCTTCTAATTCCAGTTTAGAAGCCAGTCTCAACTTTTTTTTTTTTAAATTATGTTATGCTAGTCACCATATAGTAGTACATCATTAGTTTTTGATGTAGTGTTCCATGATTCGTTGTTTGCATATAACACCATGCTCCATGCAGTATGTGCCCTCCTTAACACCCATCACCAGGCAAACCCATTCTCCCATCCCTCTCCTCTCTAAACCCTCAGTTTGTTTCCCGAGTGTCATGGTTCATGACCCCCTTTGATTTCCCCCTTCATTTTTCCCTTTCTTCTCCTAATGCCCTCCATGCTATTCCTTATGTTCCTCAAATAAGTGAAACCATGTGATAATTAACTCTGCCTGCTTGACTTATTTCACTCAGCATAATCTCCTCCAGTTCCATCCATGTTGATGCAAAAGTTGGGTATTCATCCTTTCTGGTGGCTGACTAATATTCCATTTTCAAATTTTTACTCCTCTTCACTGTGCCCTGCAGTCACCAATTCTGTTATTGTGCCTCAGAGATGCCCCTCAGATTCAGGCCACCCAGAAAGCCCTCCTCAGCTGATGGTCAGACCAAAGGTCTCCGAGGCAGTGCCCCCCATGACCCCCAAGCCTGACAGGGCACATGGATGTCTTGAGGCAGTCTGGCTCCTGATACCTGCTGCCTCTGTCCCTGATGAAACGTGTTTTTATGCTGCCACTTCTAATTTTTCAAAAGACACTTCAAGTAGACATGTTTGTGGAAAAATTTCCCAAGTTTATTTAGGTTGACTTACTTTTGCACAAAAACTATGAATGGTGCTCTCTGTGTTGACAAATACTATTGCTCACCAAGTCCTTCCTCAGCACTGTTGATGTTAGGGATGGGATTACACCAGGACTTGTGATTATGTCTCTCCTGAGAGGCTCATGTGAGCCTACCATCCAGACTCCATGCTTGAGGTTAGACTATGAGGCATGATGCCCCATGTCTCACTTTCCTGAAGGCAAATTTATGCTCTGAACTGGTCTGTGCATGTACTGAGCCCACTGGGTGTGTCATACTCTCCTGTCCCTGCTGTCCCCACCCTGCCTTCCTGTTAACTCCACGTTAACTCTGTGCTATGTATCACCTCCCCCATGGAGCAGCGGCCAGGTCAGGCCTCTGAGACATCACCCACAATGCTCTCTCTATGATTCACCTTGGACAGGGTTTTGCCTCAACTGGTCTGTGAGCTCTTCCAGGTCAGGGATCAGCAGTCCCACCCTCCTTGCAATTCTCAGAATGGGTCCTGGTTCATCCATGGGGTCCACAAGGGCTTGACAAATAACTAATGATGTCTTGTCAATATAGGCTACAACTGGATTCTAAAATGTGTATGACAAGAACTTCATTGATGAAAACAAAACCTTCTTTATCACTGCATAGTCACTAACCTAGAGAAGTAGGTATTTTAAGAGCTCATTTATCATAGGCTGAGTTATTGAATGCTATGGGTTTTCTTGATTTATAAATAATCTTTTCACTTAGGAAGAAGCTACTCCAGCCAGAGATTCTATATTATATAGGGAGAAAACATATTTCCATACATTTGGTGATAAGGGTTGGATTTTCATCAAGCCATTTCCTAGAACTTCCTTTGGCACAAAGAACAAGCATTCTGTTCTCATCTTGGAAGTTTTTGCACATAAGCCAGCAGTAAGCCAGCAAACTACTATGATCCTTCTCCCAAACAGGTAATGATTCCCATCTCATTCCTATTTTAATTAAAGATAATTATGTCCACAGGTAATAGAAGCCCCATTTTCCCAGGAGTCTGGATGCTGAAGCCTTTTTAAGTTGGACCAGCAAACATTCCCCACGCCAAGCGACAATGATCTCTGTCTGAGGTTGGAGAATCAGGCTCCGGGGGGATGAAATCCAGCTCTCCACAGCAGACTATGGCCAGAGCATAGGTGGCCTCAACCTTTAATGTAACATCCCCAGAGAAGTTTCAAAATGGAATTTGAACTCCCTCCCCCAAAACCAGGGAAGGAAGGAGGTGGGCATGTATCTAGCACCTGGCATGTGGTGAATACGTACCAGGCACTTCCATGTATTCACCTGACAGGCATTTAGTGGACACAGGAGAAAGACTGAATAAGCACTAAAGTGTACCCAGTGATCTAGACAAGGAGAAGCCTGCCTTTAGAGAATACACAAAAAACTAGGAGCAATTACCCAGGATAAAGATTGGGAAAGAGCCTCCAGTAGAGCTGTCACTAAAGATAAGGTCTGAATAGTGAAGAGGAATTAGGGATCAAGATGGGGGAGAGGAGAGTGTTCCTGGATGCCAAATGCTTTAGGGTTCAAGGCAAGGAACCAGCAGGATAGGGGTCAGTGCAGCTGGATGGTACAGAGTGTTGGGAGAGACAAGAGGGTGGGGATGGTGGCAGGAGCAATGGAACCTGCCCTAACAACCCCAGGAAGCCAGTGAGGGAAAGGGTGGAGAGGGAGGCCCTCCAAGTATATCTGAAAAGGCTGGAAGAAGGCATCTCAGCCAAGGTCCTGGTGGCTGGACCTCAGGAAGGTCCATGAATGGAGAAATGTGTTCAGTCCTGGAGCATGTATGAAACAGAGACAACAGACCTGAGTGCTTCCTTTAATATGTATAATGAGGCAGGGGAGTGGAGAATATGGGGATGAAGCACCCCTCCTTCTGGCCCAGGCCCCTGCTGGACTGAGATGCTATTGTCAAAGTAGGAAACAATGGATGAAGGCTGGATTTGGGAAAGTAGGGGGGATGATGATGAGTCCACATATACAAGATGAGTTAAATCCATGCGTGTCCCTGCCCTGGTTCCCACCATTCTGAGACTGATGGCACCATTTTGGCTATCACGGGCCAGGTCAGAGGGGTAAAGGCCCCTGGTGCAGCTTCAGGTAATGACAGATGGGAAGTGGATGGAAGAATGCCCACATCTTTGTCCCTTAGTGAGACAGTCCAAGGCAAGTGTCCTGCACAATCTCTCAAGGCCCCAGCAGCCTGTCCCCTGAGTTGCCCAGAAGTTATCTTGTGAATGTACCATTTGTTGGCACCTTCCCTTCCTGTCTCACTTCCCCTCTCCTCTACTGATACTCTTGAACTCTCGTTCTAAGTCCTGCTTCTTGGGAAGGAACCCAAGGCATCAGACTATTGTCCAACAAGCCTGGGAAGTACTACTACCACTTCTATAGAGAAAAGAGAACTACGTGAGACAGCCACCTTGCATGTCTACACATTCACAAAACTATGAGATTATTGATTGACTGAACTCATTTCTCTTGTCAGAACTTGCAGAAAAGGTATCCATCTGTCTTTTTTTTTTTTTAAGATTTTATTTTTATTTATTTGACACACACAGAGAGAGAGATCACAAGTAGGCAGAGGCAGGCAGAGAGAGGGGGGAAGCAGTCTCCCCGCCGAGCAGAAAGCCCAAAGCGGGGCTCAATCCCAGGACCCTGAGTTCATGACCGGAGCTGAAAGCAGAGGCTCAACCCACTGAGCCACCCAGGCGCCCCTTCCATCTGTCTTTATATACCCACACAGAAGCTACCAAAGGAGACAGAAGCCCTCCTAGGTCAGCCAGAGCAAAGGGCAGCATGTTGGTTTGGATGAATGTGTTTTAAAACAAAAATTAAAAACAGGCCTATGGGGCAGTTAATTCTCTTTGCAAATTCATAAGTGGCCTTATTACAGGGACAAGGTGTGTGAGATCACTCATACAGGCTTCGTGTCCTCAGTCCCCAACAGAGCGATTCTTCACTGCTAATTGATAAATTTGCAATCTGGGTCCAGAGAGCAATCTCAGGTAGGATAATGTAAGTCTGCCCTCTAAAAGATGGATTTGCTCACGAGTTGGGAATCAATTAGGTTTTCTGGCCTCTAACACATGGACTGATTTACCAGCTTTCTTCACCAAGAAGATGAATGCCCCCAGGGACCTCAGGGATTCAGGGTCATGTCTCTTGTGGTGTCTTTCAAATTCTACAAGGTCCTAAATCCTTCCTGTGAATGATCTAAATACAAACAGAGAGGATATTTCAGTGAGGGAGAGGAATAGGTGAGATTTGGACCCAGGTGTATTGGAATCCAAAGCTTAGGGTCTCCTCATTCAGTTGTAATCATGGTGACACATCTGAGAGGCTGGGAAGCACATCAGACTGTGGGCCTGCATCATCAGCTCTTACATCTGAAAGGCACGAACTATTTCAGAAAGATCCTGATTCTGTTGCTCTCTCTCTCTTCATTAGTAGATTTATTCATTTTTTAAAATAACATAATTATTCAGTTATATTGCACAATATAAAATTCACCTAACTTTTGAAGTGCACAATTCTGAGGGTTATAGTATATTCTGAGGTGTGCATCCCTCACTGTTATCTAACTCCAGAACATTTTCATCATTTCATAGCCTGTAAGCTGCCACTCCCCATTCCTCCCTTCCCTAGCCCCTGCCAGCCACTGATCTACCTTCTTTCTCTATGGATTTGATTATTCTGGACATTTTACATAAATGGAATCGTACAGTATGTGATATTTGTACCTGCCTTCTTCCACTTTGCACTATAACATTTGGTGTTATTGTATGTATCAGAACTTCCCTCCTTTTTACGGCTGAATAATAATCCATTTTAGGGATATATTGCATACTGTTTACTGCTTTCACTGGGGGATGGTTGTTACCACTGAGTTCCTATGTTATACTGGGATAATTATGATTGATCTCTCAATCCTAATTGTTGAATGGTTGATAAAATAGTACACTCTTTTTCTGCCAAATATATTGTGAGAATTAATTTGTCTTAAAAAAAAAAAAAAAAACCAGCACAAAACAAAGTCCCTGTCTTCACCTCTGGAGTGAGGAAAAGGCATTTCACATATGGCTGGGAACACTAAATGACGCACTGTATAGATGTTTAGTAAGCAGAGGTGGGGTCGCTCAAACATTAGCTGGACCAGAGAAGCCTCACTGGCAGACAGGCCATGTGACCTGCTAATGGACAAAATACTACAGTCTAAGCCTGCTGCCTCCTATGAAATAGAGCTCTCAGACACCCAAATGTAGCAGATGGTTTGGTATAGCTGAGTTTTAAGTCAGAATAGGCAGCCCGTGCTGCAGCCAAAGCATCCACCTTCCTCACTAAGAACAGGATATGAGCAATTTTGTGTTCTATCTGCTTCTAGCCCCTACAACATACACCCTTCTTAAAGAATCCTTAACATGCTCCACCAGGAATTATATATTATGACTATGGTAGAATTATACACGGACCTATCCATGGAGAAATTGGGATTATACATTATAGAATGCATTTTTCTCAAACATGTCTCTAATGTTTAATAGATGCTTTGCTCTGAGGAATAACTAGAAAAAATCAAGTGTAAGTTTCAGGAACCAGTGTTGTAAGTACCATGATTTCCAAACAGACATGAACATAGACAAACGGAAGTACACTGTCTCATATTTTTCTTTATTTCTGAGTCTGTGAACAATTATAGATTTTTAATAATCCTGTCTCTCACCCTACCTCTTCCCCCCACACCCCTCCCACAGGAAGATTTAAAGATTTGCACTTTTAGGCTTAGAATTCATTTAGTGTGCAGTAGAAGGAATTTTACAAAATAGTATCTAATATCTGCACCTCCATGGCTGATTAACAACCTTATATGCCACAGATTTTGTGTAGTAACAGTTACATTTAACACATAAAATAATCTTTAGAGCAGCATCTCCAAGTAGAAACAGGTCAGAGCAAACTATGCAACTGATGTGGAAAATTAACTAATTAGCAGTTTAGTTTAGCCAGGATGCTTGAGATGTGTGACAGGCATGGATTGCTCCTAACACCTTTAATCCCTTCTCGTACGGCTCAATTAAGGAAACCATTAGGGCACCAGGTGCTAGGTCTTCTCCAAATCCCAGCACTGTTAGATGCATTTTGTGCAAACAGAAATACTTGCCTCCTGCTAAGCAAATGATGTATGTGTTTCTGCCAGTGCCCAAGTGTTGAGAGAAAAGAGCTGCTTGCAAATCCTCATTAAAACAATTAAAATTTGCTTTTAGCAGAAACACATAGAAAAGCCTGTGATTTGGCAGTGGAGATAGTTAATGAAGCATTCAGGACCAGATCAGTTATTGTTATTTAACATTTAAATGGTACATTACAATTGCAAAATGTTGCATCATCGAACTTATCACTTTTGGTGACCTGGGACTTCCTGTGCACAAGGCCTATCCAAACTTCTGCTAGTGAACAAAGCTGTGTCACAATATCTCCAGGGAAGAATCTGAAGGAATTCTAAGTCTGATTCACTAATGATCAGAGAAGTGCAGAGGAAGTGCTGTGATCCTGGAAATGAGAAACCTGTGTATTAAGATCATTGCTGCCATTAAAGTTATGCTAACTTGCTTTAGCTTTGTGGGTCTCCATCTCAGTTTTAAGGAGGATGTTAAAGGAAGGTGGCTTCTTCACCAATAGCACCTACATGCCCCCCTCTACTAGTTCCACATTTATCACCTTTAGTAACATCATCATCTTACAATCACTACCACTGCCTGCCTTCACCACCACAATCCCCTCCACCACCATCATTACCACCACCACATTATCAGCACCACCACCACCATATCAGCACCACCACCATTAGTAGGAGAATCATCACTACCATCATCCCCATCACCACCATCACCACTACCACCTCATCATCTTCATC